GTAAGGCATTTCTCAGCTTAAGATGGGGTTATGTCTCAAATGATCATAAGTTGAAAATATTGTAAGAAAATACAATATGGTGTATACCTGTAGTCCCAGCGACTCAAGAGGCTAAAGAAGGAAGACCATTTGAACCTAGCTGCTCCAGACCAGCCTGGGGAACAAAGCAAGGCCCTGACTCAGCTGGGTATGATGTAGCTCAGTGGTAAAGTGCTTATCTTTCATATGTGAGGCCCTGGGTATGATCCCTAGCACTGGAAAATAAAAAATAGAACATTGCTGAGAGACCCTGACTCTTATTCAAAAAGAAGAGAAAATCAGTTTAATTACCTCACCTACCTATCAGCTTAGCCTGCATCAGAAAAATTACCTTAGTCCACAGTTGAGTAAAATATCTAACACAACGCCTATTTTATAATAAAATGCTAAATACCTCATACAATTTATTGAAAAGATCAAAATTCAAAATTCAAAGTATAAATCTACTAATATGATTTCTTTCACCCCATTGTAAAGTTCAAAAATCATAAGTAGGACCATTATTAAAGTTGGGGACAATCTGTATTTCACCACAAAAAACATAGGGTTTAGAAATGTAACTCAGTATGCCTAGCATGTGTGAGATCCTGAGTTCAATCTTCAACATCACAAAAAAGTGAAACAAATACACACTTTCTAAAACTTAAAATATACTCCAAATGTTTAATTATATACTAATTCATGTGAATTATGTAATACTCCCAGACGTATACATAAATAACTGGTGAGTATACTTCTGATAAAAGCCTCTAGCAGCTCTTCATGTTTACTTTCAATCTGTGGAGCACAGACCATGGAACAGTCTGCCAAAGTTCATATCCCAGCTCTACTACTTACTGACAAGTTACTTAACCTATTCCTTGATTTTCTCATCTATAACATGAGGATGATAATAGTAACCTATTGCAAGGAGTTACTACTACGATTAAGTGAGTTACTACAGGTGAAGTGCTTAAAACAGTGCCTACACAGGGCAGGTGATATTTATTAGTTTTCTGTTTTCTTTTTTAAGAGACAAAATTATACTAAATAGTTGCTTTGGTTTTGTGAAATACTTTTGTACCTTTGAGCTTTGAGGCAAAACAAGTATTCCTTCTTCCCTCCTTAGGCATCTGGTTTCAACCATTTCTTTGTGGTTGATCACTGACTTTAGAAAGGGAAGCAGGAAGGAGGAAGGGGCCCAAGTATCTAGCTAAACTTCAAACCCCAAGTGAGTCTGCACATCATCTAACACCACATCCTATATTAATTAGGAGTTAACATAACCAATATTCTAAGGCATTTTGTTTAGCTTATAGCTTTTTCTCTGTCCCATTCAATGTCAGGAGCTGGCAGAAGCATGGACATTTCGGGAAAAGTAAAGGAAAACACAAGTCATATGTGAGTCATCTATCTCGTTCCTCACATCCACTCAGTCATCAACTCCTGTCCATTTTTTCTTGCAACATCTTTCTTAATCATCCCAATCACACCAATGTGCTCTCTTGAGCCCCACAAGGTGGGCACCTATATAGGTTATGGTGCTATATAGGAGGTGTACACAACACATCTTTCTAATGGAGACCTACACCCTCAATTCCTGTGGAGCTTCACACTCCAGTGGCTCCCCTACCCAGACAAGTCTCCATGTTTGCTTCTCCTCCAGCGTCATTTCCCTCAGGCTGTACTCTGCTCAGGGCTTTCAAAGACAAATGTGCATGCTTCTGTGTAGATTGCCTTTGCCAACATTCCCTTCTGCTGAGCCAGACTCCTTACTGACCACCTCTGGGTCTCTAATCCTCAGAGAAAGGAATTGCTTCTCTACCTACTCAAATTCTACCCTTCTTGAAGGTCTAGCTCAAGTCTGACCTATTCCATAAAACTACCAACCTTCACAATTTCCTCTCTTCTGAATGCCTGTGAGTACTTACGGTTTGGACTTCATTATTAGACACTGGCCATTATAAAGCCAGTGTCTAATATATGATCACTTCTTAACAAATCCTCTACATGTACCTTCATGGGTCCCAACCAGTCCTGCCCTGCTGCCCTGGGAAGTGCCCAGCTCCTCTGCCAGTCAGTCTCCTCTCACTTCTATGGAGAAAGGCCCTGAGTTCAGTGGTGCTGGGCATGGCCTCTGGAATCAGGCTGCTAGGGTTGCAAGTCTGTCTCCTCCGCTTTACTTGGGAAAGGGTCTTAATCTCACTTTGCCTCTGCTTCCTTATCTACAAAACAGAACCAACCAATAACAGCACTACTGCTTAGGCTGTTTATAAAAGATTAAATTTTTACAAATTTATAAAAGAGAAATAAAGCACTTAGAAAATTGCCAGGCAGAGAATAAACAGTATATAAATGCTAGCTGTTTAATGAGACATGCCACAATGTGGGCTATTGAGCTATATAGACTAAAGTAAGCTGATAACCTAATAGTTTTGGTGGTTTTTTTTTTTGAGACAGTATCTCACTATGTGGCCCAGGATGGCCTGCAACTCACAATTTTCCTTGCTTCTACCTCCCTAGTGCCGGGATTACAGCTGTGTATCACTCAGCACCTAATTTTTGAAGACTTAAGGCAAATCAGGCTGGAGGAACTCTTAGAACATAGGGAGTTCAACCTCTTCATTTCATCAATAAGAAAACTGGCACAGAGAGGGGGAAATGACTAGCCCAGAGTTCCACAGACAGTAAATGTCAGACCACTAAAATTCAAATTTCTTCCTGGGTGATTGGTGGCTGATGCCTATAATTCTAGCTACTCAGGAGGCAGAGATCAGGAGGATCAAGGTTCGAAGCCAGCCTGGGCAAACAGTTTGCAGGACTCTACTCAAAAATAATTCATCACAAAAAGAGGCTGATGGTGTGGCTCAGATGGTAGAGTGCTTACCTAGCAACTGTGAGGCCCCTGAGTGCAAAACTCAAAAAAAAAAAAAAAACCAAAAAAACCCCTCAAGTCTTTGAGAGAGTGGTGATACAGAATATTTTTTCCACCAGACCTCAGTGCAATTCTATCCATATCTTTTAATGGGGAGAAAAAGGTTTTTTATAAGTAACCAACAAACCACTGTGACACAACTGATTAACTTAAAGGTTGACAGTATTGTCTACAAAGCCAGTTGTTTCAGCTGTGTGTGGGAGGGCATCTGTGGCACCCTGAAAATCAGAAGATTAATGAGATGGGTGACCTTAGATAAATTTCCTTCTGTGGACTGCAGTTTTCCCATATGCTTATGGAAATTAGGTGTCCCTAGTTGAACTAAAGACACTGTGGAGGCATGGATTATGCTGTATACTGTAAGGTTCTAAGTCAACATTCAGAGGCTGGCTCAGCACTAAACAAAGCAAATACCGGAATAATTATTGAAAGCTGGGAGTATAGTTCAGCAGCAGAGCACTTGCCTAGCGTATGTGAGGTCCTGGGTTCCATCCCCAGCCCCACAAAAAAAAAAAAAAGTGGACTTAAGCCAGGTGCCAGTACCTCACTCCTGTAATCCTAGCTACTCAGGAGGCAGAGATCAGGAGAATCATGGTTAGAAGCCAGCCCTGGCAAATAGCTCACAAGACCCTATCTCGAAAAAACACATCACAAAAAAAGACTGGTGAAGTGGCACAAGGTGTAGGCTCTAAGTTCAAATCCCAGTGCCGAAAAAAAAATTTATATATATACTGACAAACCACAAGCTTCCCTCAGGTGTCTACTGGATGGCCATCTTTTCAGTGAAGCCTTCCCAGTCCACTTTTTTAGCACCAGCTGGCATACCATGTATTTTTACATTTTTTCCTTCTCTCTGACTCTGCCACTAGCATACTAACTTCACAGGGCAGGGGCTTGATGTGTTTTGCTCACTGTGGTACCTTGGACCCTTAAAACACACTGTCTGACACAGAGCAGACTGTACATACATTTTGTTGACTGAATCAATGTATAACATAAACGTTTCCTACCTAATATTTCAACTTGGGTTTCAAAGCACAACCCACTGATAGAAATGTAATAAGCAAATTGGTGGTATTTGTGTTAATATGATAATAAAATATATAAACTGGGCATGGTGGTACACACCTGTAATCCCTCTCTGGAGGTGGAGATAGGAGGATCAAAGAGATCGAGGCTACCTGGGCTAAATAAGACCCTGTCTCAAAAAAAGCAATCAATCAATAAATACAACTTATAAAACTCGGAGCTACCACTGCCATCCAAAGTGCACAGAGGCCACGCGTGCCGAGCGCAGTCCGGGCACAGTCTATAAGGAAATCATTAACCTTCAATTCTCACACCAACTCTGCAGTGTCGTTCAATTAAAAGTAGCCGCACGGGGTGAGGGGAATCGAGGAACTTCTGAACAATCTTTGCATTCTCCATAAATCTAAGATTAGTCCAAAATAAAGTTTATTGAAGGGAGCGGGGAAGCATCTGCCAGGAAGCTCCTCTGGGTTTCTCAGCGGATTTGCTGGATGCCAGGGAATGTCCAGATCCTCACGTCCTTTTTCTATGGAGACTTCAACTCCAGTCCCCAAAAGCCACACTTCGAAAGCGAGGATGAGCACGGCCCAGGACGTTCCCGGCTTCATCGAATTTGTGTTGTCGTCCCCAGGTCCCTCATTCCCTCCTGGGGTCACAGGCAAAGCCACCCCACGGGCATATTTCGGTCCCGCCCCCGGACGCCAGCCTTCTAGGCTCTTCCCGACCGCGCAAGGGAAGTGAGAAGGCAAGTCGTCCTCCTCCAGCTCCGCCACCGCCGCCTCGCCTGGGAAAGCCCCGCCGCTCCAGGGTCCCCCACCTCGAATGGAGCGCGAGCCGCGGCCCCGGAGACCCGGCGCGGGACGCTGCGGTCACCGAACGTCGGGTGTCGCGAGGGCAGCTCCCAGCACCCACCCTCGCCCCACCGCTCGGCCCCGAGGAGCCCTCGCGGGCGTTTGGTCCGCGACCCTCGCCGCCCGCGACCCTCCGGCCGTCGCCCGGCCCCCCAGGCCGCACTCACCTGTGGGCGCGGCGCCCCCGCCGCCGCCGGCGCAGAGCAGCAGCGCCCACAGCCCGCAGAACCGCGCCGGCCACTCCATGCAGCCCCTCGCCTCGGAGCCCGGCCGGGCTGGAGCCTGGGCAGTCTCCGCCTCCTTTGCTCCCGCTCCCACTTCCCGGCTCCGCCGCCCTGGAGACCGGGGGCCGGCGCAGACGGGAAGGGCCGCTCCGCCCACGGTCGCAGGTAACTCGAGCCTGCAGGGGGCGGGGCGCCAGCGGCTGCTCGGGCTCCCAGGGCGCGGACACCTGGCCAGGCCTCTGTGCTGCCACCCGCCGCTCCAGAGTCCCCTGTCTGACCAAACACAACTTCCTCGACCGCGTCGCGGCCCAGCTCAAATGCCTGCCCGGCCCCCGCCCTCCTTTCTCGCGGTGGTGTCAGCGCCCGCAGACGAAGTTACTGACTGCAGGGGCGTTGGAGGTGCCCAGGGCTGTGCCCGGCTGGACACTAGGGCAGGGTCATCCAGGGAAAGAACCTTGGCCTCAGAGTCTGGAAACCGGGCTTCCAAGCCTTGGCCTCTGAGCCCTTATTTCCTAGGCTCTGACTCAACGGTTAGTGACACTAGCCCTACTTCACTGGGTGAACTTGAAAGTCCAAATAGGGGTCTTGGTAGCACTCTGTTTTGTGAAAAGGACAAACGATATATCTGAAAGCTGGTAATAACATCCTATTGAATCGGATTTTAAAAGGCAGCATTCCAAGTAGGAGGGACAGCACCATCCTATATACTTGTACTTTTTAAAACACACAACTACCTTCTTAATTTCCTAACATGAAATTAGGTGCCTATGAGTCAGTAAGGTTGGGGGAGGAGAAAAATTAGAATCCTTATGAGTTTCCTACTGCTGATGTGACAAATTACTACAAATTTAGTGACTTAAAACATTTTTATTGTATTACAGTTCTGGAGGTCAGAATTCTCACTGAGCTAGAATCAAGGCGTGGGGAGAGCTGCATTCCTTCTGGAGATTCTGGGAGAGAATGTTTCCTTGACTTTCTATCTTCTAGAGGCTTCCCACATTCCTTGGCTTGTTGCTATAACACTCAGATCGCTGATGGCTTCCCCTTTCACATCTCTGGCCCTCCTACCTCCATTTTCCCCCTATAAAGACTTCATGGGCAGGAGTGGTGGTGCACACCCATAATCCCAGCACTAGAGAGGCTGAGGCAGGAGGGTTTCAAGTTCAAGGTCAGCCTAGGATACATAGGTAAACACTGTCTCAAAACAGAACAACAGAAACAAAAAGACCATTGTGATTAGACTGGGCATACCACATGATCCACAATAACCTCCCCAACTCAAAAAGCCTTGATTTTTTTCTATGTAAGGTAATACATCCTATTACCTTGTCTGAACATCAGGACATGGTTGAAATAAGCATACATTCTATCACTCTTCTCTTCCTCCCTGAAAAAAAGTCATGTCTGGACGGATGGTGAGATTTACTAATAAAGGTACATTTTGGTCAAATTAAGTCAATGTATGCAGTTGAAAGCAGTTGTAAAAATTTAGCAATAAGGGTTAGCAGTATACCTCAGTGGTAGAGTGCTTGTCTAGCATGAATAAGACCCTGGGTTGAATTCCCAGCATCCAAACAAAAAGCAATTAAAAAGACTGATAATATACCTAGTCTTGACCTCACGCAAAGGCCATCGGGATGTTTAACCTAGCTAAACATAGGCTCCACTATTGGAACGAAGGCCCTCAGTTTCAATAAATATTTATGAAGTCCTTCCAGGAAATGTGGAAGACAGTCTCGTTAAAAGCAGACCTTGGTTGGGGGTTGCTCAGTGACAGAGTATGTGCTTAGCATGCATAAGACCCAGAATTCCAACCCCAGCACCAAAGGAAAAAAAGACAGACCTTGCCAACAAAGAGCTGCAACCAGTTTGAGGGGATATCATATCATAAGGACGAGAACCATGAAATTGTGGGATACAAAGAAGGGTGCCTTATGGGGCAAGGCAGGCTTCTAGGAGGAGGGCCTGCCTACACTTCATTCTTACAGTTAAAGTTTCAGTATAAATCCCTGCCTATATATATTATGAAATAAAATGTGTTTATGAAAACAACAAAACTATCAAAGTTATAGAACTAGAGCTGGGCGCCTGTGGCTCACGTCTGTAATCCTAGCTACTCAGGAGGCAGAGATCAAGAGGATCGCAGTTCGAAGCCAGCCCAGGCAAATAGCTTGCGAGACCCTATCTTGAAAATGCCATCACAAAAAGGGCAGGCGGAGTGGCTCAAGGTGAAGGCCCTGAGTTCAAGCCCCAGTACACGCAAAAAAAATTATAGAACTAGATATATTACTGTTTTTTAAATCCCTCTCTAAATAGGTCAACACTCCCTAACCCAAGGCCTCCCTTTGCCATCATCTCAGACATATACACTTGTTGACATTTGTTATAAGCATTATCCAATAAGTTTATAATAACATTTCCAAAATGATTATGTCATCTGCCTTTTAAGGAGTCTCCAGTTGGAAAAGGAGCCCCTGGGGACTGGCTGAGTGCCATCCTGGGCACTGGCTGTCATAGATTGACCACTTAAAACAAATAGTAATAACTGCAAATGGTTGGGAAACTAAGGGTTGTGACTATCATTAGCCATGAGAATTTGAACATTGTGAAGAAAGCAATAGCTTCCTTTCACCAAGCTAATTCTGCCTGTTGTTCTTGAGTAAGACTATATAGTCAGTTTCCTTTTTTCTCGGATTCTAAATATCCAGCAACATTTTAAAAAATTGTGAAGAGGATGGATTCAGAGAAGATTAGGAATGCTGTTTCTTCAACATGAAACCGTTATTTGTAGTCTCTGTGTACTTTTATGCAAAAGGCATCTTGAATTGAATTAGGCCACTGCCCTGGTCAGCAGGAAGAACGAAAACAAATGGAAAGCTTTCCAGGAACAGCAATAAACAAGAAACTCTCCATTTGGCTTTGAGTAATCAAAATCATGATGAGGCAACACCAAGTTTAGCTTTAACCCTTGGAACCCTGATGATTTGGGCTGGCCTGAGACTACCAGTTGCTTCTCTCTAGTTTTGGCCAGCAGTTGCTGGAGTTCTAGTTGACCTGTGAACCTCAGCCACTCCAGTTTGTTTTGATCTTTACCTTTCTTACTAAGGCTTTTCCCTTTTCTATAAGTGGAGGTAAAAAGGTGCAGAGACAAGATATCTGACAGGAAAGAATGATGTCCCTCTTTCCAAAGTCAGATCTCCCTGAGAAATGCCCTTGGGTGTTCAAAAAGGACATGGACACCAGCATACACTATAAGCTTAGATGAAAATGCTGGTATCATAGGAAAAAAAAGAACCCCAAGAGTCTGTTACCTTCTGTTAAACAAAATCAAAACAGATCCTCATTACCACTTTAATGCAAACAAAAAGGGGAAGTCAGAGACCGGGTATTTCCCTCCTCTGACTCTGGAGCAATGGCTCCCAACCAGGGGCTATTTTGGCAATGTCAGTGGATACTTCTGCTTGTCATGACTAAGTAGGGTGGGGTGCTCTTGGCATGGAGTGGGTAAAGACTAGGGATGCTGCTAAGCATAGGAAGCCCCCACAACAGATTTGATCTGCTCAAAATGACAATAGTGTCAAACCTGAGAAATCCTGAGCTCTAGAATATGCTTTGTTGTCTTTTGTACTTGGCCCCCACCTGCCCATTGTCCCATGCTTGCCAAAAAAAGAATGAGAAATGAATGCTAAAGCTATTTAGTCTTCACACTCCTCTCTTTCCTTTACTTAGCACCCCCTTCTTCCATCCCACTGTCTAGCCATGCAGCCTCTTATTGGATTGTAAACCATCTCTTAGATCTACCCCCACCTCACCCAGATGATCCTGTTTCCAATCTTTAGTTATAGCAATGGTCTTCTAACTGGCCCTGAAGACCCACTCTCCATGAGGCAGATCTTCCCAATGTCCTAGATCTCACTCACTACACAAACACTTAGTTTCTTAAGTAACACTTCTCAAGTGCCAGAAAAGAAGTCCCAAGTCATTTGTCTACAGGTTTGCCTCTTTAGGACAGATTGACAACACAGACTTTTCCCAGCTTCATCTTCAGCCAGGCTCCTGGTCACCTAGCACTAATAGCTGATTGGCCACCTTCAGACTGAAAGTCCTTTGTGGCTAATTATGCTTTTTTTCAGTTTTAGGAATGGAATCCAGGGCCTTGCCCATGCTAAACAAGAGCCCTACCACTGAGCTGTACCCTCAAGCTCCCCTCCCCCCTTTTTTGGACAGTACTAAGGTTTGAACTCAGGGACTCATGCTTGCTAGGCACCTCAATCCCCTTATGAGCACTTTTGTTTAACCCATATCATATTTAAATTTATTTTGGCTCTAGATTCCAAAAATTAAAGGAGAAAAATCAGGAGAGTTTTTTTTTTTTTTGCTCAAGAACCCCAATCTCCAGGTTCTCTAAAGAAAGCAAAAGTTCTGTCATTTTATTGGGCCTATTTTGCAGTGTACCAACAGCCAGAGGACGTCAAGCATTTTGTCTATAAGGCATGTGCCTCTGTCTACACAGGCCGGATGGCCCCCTATTGCACCTGGCCTGGCCTGCTTCCCTTACTTATTACTTGCTTGGCTCCTGTTTGTCATCTCTGATATTTTCTCACTGCCAAGCTTTTCTCTTGCTGTACTTTTTGCCCAGAATGTTTTTCTATCCCTCAAATGTCACATTTTTGTAGCTCCCCAAATTCAAACTTCTTTGCTCTCTACCATATGTGTGCTCATGGCACTTGGTAAGTTTAAGTTCTGTGGTCATAGCAAATATTTCACTGGTTTGTCTGTGTGTCTATTCTGCTACAGGATTCAAGATCCTAGATCCACCCACTGTGTCCAGGGGAACTCCAGGATATCTATGTAGGAAGACGTTGGGGGTAGGAATCTGCTTGGCAGGGACAGCCACCACGGGACTTGTCTTATGTGTACAGCCAGCAGTCTGCTCTTACTTAGATTCTGAGTTATTCGGGTGGCTTAGGGAAGACATCCTCTGGCACCATGACTGTAAAGTGATAGTGGCACATACCATGCCCTTAATGTTCGAGATCAACTGAAGGTCCTTTCTCCTCAGCAAGTGGTTTTCTGCTACAGGGTTAGTGGAGTTCACTTGAGGGAGTGCTGTTTATGCAGGAGGATCTGACAGGAGTCTTTCAGTTTAGCCTGAGGCAGGGTAGGCCTGCTGTTAGGGCTTCTGGGTCAGCTTCTTGAAGCCCACAGACCCATAGGCCTTTGCACTTTACAGTAGTCATTACATTAATTTTTCTTTTTTGGTGATGGGGACTGAAACACTGGATTTGAGTTGC